CTGGATGAATGTCGCATCTCCCATGTTGCTTCTTCCACCGGCAGGTTACTCCATTTTATTTTCCACGTGACCACAGGGATATCGATGTCCCCTTGTTTGCGAGGAACCAGTTTGCGCTCCAACAGTAGTTCAGGTTTGAGCAGGATTGTTCCATCAGGGTTAAGTAATGGAAGTTTGGTGTTAGGTATTGTTGTTGGGCCAATGTGCTTCTTCAGTTGGCTGATGTGGAATGTATTGTGCAGCTTGCAGTCGTCTGGTAGGAGAAGTTTGTAGGAAACATTACCAACTTTCTGCATAACTCTGAACGGTCCATAGTACTTGGAGTGCAGCTTGAAGCACTTATGGATGCTCAGTGTAGTATGTCTGTAGGGATGGAGCTTCAAGTAGACCATATCACCTTCTTGTAAGGTTCTCTCAGATCTCTTCTTATCTGCAAAGTGCTTCATTCTATTCTGGGCTCTGAGGAGATTTTCTTTGATGTGAGCAGCAGTTTGTTCAGCAGTGAGGACAGAGGGAAGATTGGTAGTGTCCTCAGGTGGGTATAGAGCTGCTTCAGCTATCATATTGGGTTTTCTGTTGTACAAAGACTGAAAGGGAGTGATCTTTAGTGAGGTGTGGTAGGATGTATTGTACCACCACTTAGCTAAGGGCAGTCAGTAAAACCACTTTTTTGGTTGCAGGAAGGCCATACATCTCATGTAGTTCTCCATGCATTGGTTCACTCTTTCAGTTTGCCCATCAGTTTGGGGGTGGTAAGAAGTACTCAGATGTAACTTAATGCCCATTCGTTTGAACAAACTTTGCCACAGCTGATTTGTGAAGATTTTGTCCCTGTCAGTTACAATAACAGAAGGAAGGCTATGGAGTTTAAATATGTTTTCCACAAAAGCATTTGCTTCAGTCTGCACTGTGATGGGGTGTTTCATGGCAATGAAGTGACTATATTTGGTGAATCTGTCCACTACCACCAAGATCATATCCTTGTTTTGGGAAACTGGCATTCCTTCTACAAAGTCCATACTTATGTGACACCAAGCAAAGTCAGGGACATGCAATGGTTGCAAGAGACCAGGGTACTTGCAGTGCTCTGGTTTGTTGATCTGGCATGTTGGACACTGCTTGATGAAGTCAACAATGAACTGCTTCATGCCAGGCTAGTGGAACAAGAGTTTGACTCTTTGATATGTGGTTCTGTGGCCAGAGTGACCTCCCAGCTCACAATTATGTAATGCAGACACAAGTTTGGTTCTCAGTTGTGTCTCACTGCCTACTATAATTCTATTCTTATATCTGAGTATACCTTGCTTTAGGGTGTAGTTATCTAAAGCAGAGGGGTTAGTGGCCAATTGAGCCATGATGGTCTTGCATTTAGTGTCATTGTTGTAACTGGCTACTTCTTCAGATATCCAAGCAGGGACAGTTGTGCTTGCAATGAGGTTGTGTAGTTTGTACTGCACTCTAGAGAGGGCATCAGCTACTCTGTTTTTGTTTCCTTGCTTGTACTCGACCTTGTAATTATAGTCCAGTAATCTCACCAGTAACTTATGTTGAATTCCTTCAGTTAACTTTTGTTCCTGAATATATTTGAGGCTCTACTGATCAGTTCTGATAATGAGAGAAGGTGCTACAAAATAGTGTTTCCAGTGTTCCAGAGCTTCAATGATAGCTAGGGCCTCCTTATCATAAGTGGAGCTAGCAGCAGCTCTAGGACCAATAGTTTTGCTGGAAAAAGGAAATAGGTTTGCCTCCCTGCATGAGGACTGCTCCAATGCCATAGTTGCAAGCATCAGTTTCAAGAACAAATGATTTGGAAAAGTCAGGTAGGCTAAGACAGGGGCCTTTGTCATTATGTGTTTCAAACTGTTAAAAGCCTGTTGTTGTTCAGTGTCCCATGTGAAACTGTCCTTTTTAGTGAGTTGAACAGGGGTTTGCAGATAAACCCATAATTTTGTATGAACCTTCTATAATAGCCAGTTAATCCTATTAAACTTCTCAGCTGAGTAACATAAGCATTGCCTCAACTTTTACAGGGTCTGTAGCAACCCCATCTCCTCTGATGATGTGTCCTAGATATTCCACTTGTGGCTGGGCAAAAGTGCATTTGCTGAGCTTTGCATATAACTGGTGCTATTGAAGGGTCTCAAACACTTCTTTTAAATGTTCTATGTGTTCCTGAAGGTTTCTGCTGAAAACTAAGATGTCATCAAAGAAAATCAAGACAAATTTTCTCAGATATTTCTTGAAAATTGTATTCATCGGCTTCTGGAATGCAGCTGGAGCATTAGTAAGCCCAGATGGCATAACTAAGTACTCATAGTGCCCACAATGAGTGCTGAAGGCTGTCTTTTCTATGTCATGTTGCATCATCCTGATATGATGGTAACCACTTTGTAAGTCCAATTTAGTGAAAACAGTGGCTCCATGTAGTTCGTCCAGCAGATCTTCAATTATTGGCACTGGATATTTGTTCTTGACTGTTTGCTCATTGAGTTTCTGAAATCATTGATAAGTCTCCAGGTTTGATCCTTCTTTTTCACTAGGAGGGCTGGAGAGGAGTAAGGACTGACACTGTCCTTAATTACTTTGTCCTTAATCATCTGTTGGATGATTTGTTTCATTGCATCTTTTTGGTGGTGAGGTAATCTATATGGCCTATGGTTTACTATTTTACACTACTAGGAAAAGGCCTACTAATGGCACACCGGTTTTGCCTACTAATGGCGCACCACTGGTGCACCATTAGTATCTGATATTCTAATGGCGCACCACGCAGTGCGGCATTAGTTTTGCCCACAGTGCGCCACTAGTGTCTGCTATACTAATGGCGCACCACATGGTAGTGCGCCATTAGTAACATTTTTTTATTTTTTTTTTGTTTTTTCTTAATCTCAGGTCACTATTTCACATATGAGATATCCAACACATATATATATACAACAAGCATCCATATAACAATCATAGCCAACACACAAGTTCCATCATATATACATACATAGCCAACACATAGTTCCATCGTTACATATTACAAAAGTTTCACATTGTTCATCCAACACCGTTATCCATCAATTCACAAAAGTTTCACATTGATACAAAATAAAAACACAAATGGAAAAGAAGCACTCCATCCATGCAAGATTCCGTGAATTAAATCAAATCTGCAAAATGATAAACAAGAAGTTAGAAGAAGAAGAAGAAGAAGACTAGAAGAATACTAGAAGA